GTTTCTTTTGTGCTTGGTCCCTCCTTCTGAAAAAAGTGAAGCACTTGATCTCTAACCACCACCTGTCAATACCAACCATCGGCTACCATCATCAAAAACCTACCAGCTACCGGAATCCACCACCTAACTATATCAGTCCCTTAAGATCCAACTAGCTGCCTTAATCTGTCCTATTATCGTATCTTTCAAGCACCTGAATTGTTTTGAAATTGTTTGTAGTGCGAGTGCAGTGTAAGTTCTTGGGGACCAAATTCCAGCTGTTTGCTCAAACCAATAAATTACAATTTGCATTTGGTGGTGATATTGTCTGTATCTGTTATCCACCTTCAAAACCTATAAAAAAAATTCAAACTTTATAGCTGAACTGTACAAAATCTTGAATGAAAAATAAAAATGAAGTGGTTTAATTTGGTTATTAGTTAATTAACTACATCAACAAGCATGTTAACAACATTTGCTTTTTTCATTTGATTTTTTTGTCTTTCTGTTGTAGTAAGTTCAGCACCACCACCAGATTTACTACCAGACTCATATCTAATTCCTTTTCCAGTAAACGGAGGGTGGTGGTGGTTGTGGTGACGGCGTGTAAGATATGTCATGGTAGTGGTAGTTATGATTATGATTATTAACCGAATTATTTCCAAGATGATGGAAATCAAGAAACACAAATTTAGCAGGTTGTGGTTGTGATTGTTGTGCATCTGAGTAGTAAACGTATCCAAGTTTCATTAGAAGTAGTGTTTGTAACTCATATCCACCTTGAATTTATGAATTTCCATTATATTATGTCACTATCTATGCTTTTGTATCTTTCTTTATATGAATTTCTTCATTCTGTAAATTAAATATTCTTTGTTATCGTATAAGTTACACCTGTGTGTATATGATTAGTCCATAATATTAAATAAATAAAATCGAAGAAATATATATATATATATATATATATATATATATATATATATATATATATATAGGGTTAGGTTACTTTGTTTTTATTAACTATTGTGTGCCAGAATGCACAGATCTAGACCAACAGATGAAATTAATCAATGGACATGATTTGAAGGTATACGATATTACAGTGGGATAGCATGTACCATATAATCATAAATTTTTTTTAGCAAAAAGGTATTTTGGACAATTAACTACAATTATAAAAGGAAATTTACGGATTTTTAGGGATAATTAATTCTCCCAATTTTAAAATTTTGATTATTTTTTTAATTAATTCTAACGTAATTTGTAAACATAATTGAGCCCTCAGTACGAGTCTGGAATGCCTACCGGGACCTCAGCTCGTATCTAGAATACCATCGAGCCCTCAGTACGAGTCTGGAATGCCTACCGGGTCCTCAGCTCATATCTGGAATACTCTAGGGTTTGTTGGATACCGCACGAAGCAGTACAACCTCAACCCATCCCACATAACATGTCGACATGTATTAGATAAATACCCATACAGGAAATCAGACAATATAACAGGTAGTCCTAGAGACCGTCCAAACTAGCATATCAACTGACATACATCACTAACATGCAATACTAACTCATGATCAACATCTAACACTGCTAGGATAATACATCCAATGGCCGGCCTTAGTGCCTTAGAACCCTTAGTATAGTGAGGATAACTCACCTGCAATTGCCGAGTGAAGAGATAAGACCAAGCTGCTCCGACCACCGATACAAACTTCACTTCAAAGCACTACCAAAGAACCAATCCCATAAATACCAGAATTACCACAATACCCTTAGGAGTCAAACTGGTCAACTCCTGGTCAAAGTCAAAGTCCTCAATCAAAGTCAACCTTCCTGGTTGACCCTACTCGCCGAGTCACCCCGTCGACTCGCCGAGTTCCCATACCCAGAAAACTCTAACTACACAACTTAACTCGCCGAGTCTCCCCAAGACTCGTTGAGTCCAACGATCTCTGAGTCCCATCATGTCCGACTTACTCACTCGCCAACCGACTCACTTAATCCAAGGCTTTAACCAAAGGAGGTTGAGTTTTGTGACCAGACTCACCGAGTCCAAGAACAGACTCGCCGAGTTGTTCTTCCAACTCGCCGAGTCCATGCTTATGTTCATACAACTCGTTGAGTACACCCATGTGACTCGTCGAGTCCCTACAGTTCTCAATCCATTCAGAGGCTTTTCGAGCCATGCAGGGGCTCCAAACCATAGATCCACTCTTTTACAACCCAATCCTCACATAAAGTTGCAAACTTTATGTGAGACCAAGGAGATATAGGCTCAAAACACACTATGGCTAAGTTTAAGGACTAAGGGGCTTCACTAACAACTCAATAACTGAAACTTATAACATTATGGACCATCACAAGCCTAGATATGAAGAAGCAAGCTCAAATGTAAGCCTCTAACTCGAAATAGCTCTTAATCATACCAAAAATGCCCCAAATTTCAAATGATAAAAGATCTAAATGCAAACACCTTCTGGTTCCTAAATTGTATGAACAAACATTTTCAGTTGTATGTTATGAAATATTAAGATTCTTGAATACTAGAGTGCAATAATATACATATACAATGAAGACAACAAAATCTACAGAAAATAGATGTGGAACGATTGTTTTTGTTACCTTTGCCTTTGGAGACAAACTTTGTAGGTTCACTCCACATCTTTGAACTGCCTTCAATCTATTAAAAACTAACGAAAATGACTTAATCGATATGTACAATATAAGTTAGATGACCTGTTGTACAAAATAAATAAATAAATAAATAAAAAATAAAAATAAATGGTGTAATTTTACCAAACATGTAAGTTTATCGTGATAAATGTTCACTACTAGCCTACTATCCATTGGAAATGGTTACAACTCCATATTATTTATTTATTATTTATTTATTTATTTGACATTATTTTAAATAAAAAAACATAGTTATTAAACATAAATAAATGTTTAGTAATAAAAAAGTACAATAAGTTAAAAAAAAACATAATCTTAAAATTTAATAAATATTTAAAGGTATATTAGATATTAAAAAAATATAATTAGAATATATAAGTTAAGAGTCTTATCTGTAATTTCTAAAAATTATTTAAGTATAAAACATTTGACTTAAGGTGAGATTTGTAATCAACCAAGACTACAGTGACCAAAGTTGTCAAGCCTTCATTTTACTATCTTCTTCCTCACATGCACATCACCATTTTCTTCGATTCTTCGTAATGCTCTTTTTCTCCATTTTCTTCACTCTTTAAAAAAGAGTGATTTTTTCTTTTTAAATCCACATCCGTGAACATAGAAAAAAGAAATGATCAAACAAGGCATTAACCAATCACTTTTCTCGTCGATGTTCGTAGCCAAAACCACGCAACAAGGCACCTATGCACATTTGGAGCGGTGTTCACGCATATATGGCCTTGCCACGTATGCACTACGCGTAGCCAAGTCCCGTCCATACCACAAAGCCTTATAGAGGATGTCACCTTTCTTTAACTTTTGTACTGACACAAGCCACTTCAACACAAGCCATTTCAGCCAAAAATCCTCACATGTGATTAAACTGAGATAGATATGGAGCATAAATGTTAAAAAAAATCCTTAAAAACAAATGTAAATAAAAAAAAAGAAAAAAAAACTCTACAAATTTAATAAAGTCTTGAAATTACCCCCTAGATTCTTTAAAGAACTTTTTAATTAATACTCTACAAATAAAGGTGACCAAGGTGACCTCCCCCTTAAAAAAAAAAAAAAAAAAAAAAAAAAAAACTCCACAAATAAGTGTATATATTAAAACATATGGACTTAAGGAAAAAGATGTTTCTAGGCAATGTTTTAAAACCTGGTTAACCCGGCCGGTTCAACCGGTTGGACCGTAACCCGATGTAGAAGGCGGATAAATTGAGATCGGTTTTTTGTAAAAATACGGACCGGATCGAACTGGCCGGGTTTCCTCTAAACCGCGGCTCAACCGCTTATGTCGAATCGGTTAAAACCGGATTGACCCGTTTTAATTGGGTTTGGATAGTTGGAAACAAGTAGCAAACGCCAAAACAACGAACCGTTTGCGGTTTCTTCAATGTTTTTCAATGTTTTTAAATATTTAAACTTTGTGAACATTAAATTATTGATTTTATATGTTTATGCATTATGTATGAAAGTAAAAATATATAAAAATAGAAAAAAAGACGGTTGAACTGGTTGACCCGTGAACCGGTTATCATACCAGATCAACCAAAAACCCAGGTTTTAAAACATTGTTTTTAGGAGTTTGACCATAGTTTCCAAAATCGACTGTTCTGGTCCCATATTGTTTGGTTTATTGAATTTCACCATTTTTTACTTTTATTCACCATTTTGTAAAGATTATACTTTTGGTTTTCTTCTTTTATATATTAACACACAAATTAATATATACATATTAAAAGCATATAGACTTAAGGAATAGAAAAGTTGATGTGCTTAGGAGTTTGGCCACAATAGTTTCAGAAATTGACTGTTTTGGCCCCTCATTGTTTGGTTTTGTTGAATTTCACCATTTTTTTTTTACTTTCATTCTGTTGGGTTTTGAGTTTTGACCGTACCACTATGTAAATGTTACACTTTTGGCCCTTTCTTCTTTTACACATTAATACACAAACCTCTAGGGAAATAATAAAGTTTCATTTTATTGGATTTTGATCACACCACTTTGTAAATGTTATACTATTGGTCCTTTTTCTTTTTGATTTTTCAATCATAATCTAAATAAATATTTTTAAAGAATAACAATTTTGGCATAATACTCATTATACTTCAACATATATGTTTTTTTTTTTTTTTTAATGTGTCATGTATTGAATTTGTAGTGGATTTCTTCACTCGTTTGTATTTTAATCGATGAATTTAAAGACACATAGCTTTGATTTATTTTAATAATAAAAGTAAAAAGAAAAAAAAGTTCCAAAGCCAGGCTTTTTTTACTAGTTATAATATAAAATTTGAAAATAATAAGGACTTTATTATTGTAATTGTAACGTCTACCATAAAACATGTCACTTTTTGGTACCACAATTCGGCGGACCCAAAGCTCGAAGCTTTTTCATGGTCGGCTCTCGCATATTACCCACCGATCAATATTCCATACACAAATTTCCATTTCAATCTCACCGGAAAGATTTCAATTTTCAAGCTCTGCCTTTTCAGCAATCCTTACAAGTGTCCATCTCTCTATAGGTCGACCAGATGCGCATGACAAGGTTTCAAGGAACCCTAGATCAATGCCGAGACTTGGATCATCTCAAATAGTCACACCCACTTTCACAGATCCTAACCATGGCGAAGCAGTCCACGGGATCCTCAACATTCTTCTTCCACAAAAAGAAGCGATGGCTTCTGGTTCTGTTAGCCTTGCTATCCATCTCGACGGCGGTGGCGTTTATTATCAGGGCCGCTTATGATTCCTCATGTGATCGCCGTCTCTTCGATGTCCCTGATGCAGGTAAACGGTTTCAATCGACGGTGAATCCTAAGGCGTCGCCTCCGCCTAAAGTCAAAGCAGCGAATCCTCTCAGTTTTATGAAGTCCAAGCTTGTTCTTCTCGTTTCTCATGAACTCTCTCTTTCTGGTAACTCTTCAATTCTTCATTCCATTAGGGGGAAATGATGTAATCGACATTCTGATACCTTTTATCCCCTTTTCAATTTGTTGATTTGACTTTCAGGTGGACCATTGCTTTTAATGGAACTAGCGTTTCTATTGCGAGGTGTTGGCGCTGAAGTTTGTTGGATAACGCTTCAAAAGCCACCGGGGAAAGATGAGGTGATTTACAGCTTGGAGAACAAGATGCTGGATCGTGGAGTACAGGTCTTCTCTGCTAAAGGTCAAGAAGCTATAACCACCGCCATTAAAGCCGATTTGGTTGTTTTAAACACTGCCGTCGCCGGAAAATGGCTAGACGCAGTTCTGAATAAAAACGTCCCTCAAATTCTCCCAAAAGTGTTATGGTGGATTCATGAAATGCGAGGCCATTACTTCAAATTGGATTACGTTAAGCATTTACCAATGGTAGCTGGGTCTATGATCGATTCCTACGTTACAGCTGAATATTGGAAAAACAGAACTCAAGAACGATTAAAGTAACCTCTTTTCTGTTTCCTAATTTCTTTTCATACCTAAAATAAACTTTCCCATTTCTTCAATTTAACAATTCACGCTTAAATTCCCAGGATTCAGATGCCAAAGACCTACGTTGTTCATCTCGGAAACAGTAAAGAACTCATGGATGTCGCAGAAGATAATGTAGCCAAAAGGGTTTTAAGGGAGCATGTTCGAGAGTCTCTTGGAGTGCGCAATGAAGATATACTTTTCGCTGCTATTAATAGTAAGTTTTTCGCTTTAATCTAACTTTATCCCTTTCAATAAAGAAACAAGGTGATGAATCGAATATGTTTATATGTGAATATGATAATGATTTACAGGCGTTTCGCGTGGAAAAGGTCAAGATTTATTTTTGCGTTCATTTCATGAGAGTTTACAGATAATTCAAGAAAAGAAGCTTCAAGTGCCTTCAGTACATGCAGTGATTGTAGGAAGTGATATGAGTATGCAGACTAAATTTGAAACAGAACTTAGAAACTTTGTGAATTTGAAGAAGATTCAACATCGAGTTCATTTTGTGAATAAAACTCTAAATGTTGCTCCATATCTTGCAGCCATTGATGTTCTAGTTCAGAATTCTCAGGTAAGTTGCTTTGAAGTAATTATGGTTTACTTTGATTCTTTTATGATTATGTGATTGGTATTGAATAATGAATAGATATTGGGTACAATGGAATAGGAGAAGGAATGGAATTGCTCATTCCATTCCTGATGGAATGGAATGGTTCATTCCGTTGGTGAAGGTGTTTTGTTCTAGTTACATAATGGAATGGAATGACAGTTTGTCATATAATCCATTTTTATTAAATTTTTTGATGATAGATTTTTTTTAGGTTACTATAATATTATTTTCTGGAATGAGTTAGAAATATTTTCAAAGTACAATCTATTTTGGGTTTTCAGTAGAGTAAATTACTGAAATGGTCCCTATGGTTTGGTCAAAATTACACGTTTGGTCCCTAACTTTATCTATGTAAGGGACGAAAAACACAACAAAATCGAACCATAGGGACGATCTGAGTGTAAAACAAAAGTTAGGGACCAAATGTGTAATTTTGACCAAACTGTGGGGACCATTTCAGCAATTTACTCCTTTCAGTAATAATCACTAAAATAACCACTTTTCCAACATTTATCTCAAGATAAACAAAACCACCCATTTTGCGTAATTTGGGAAATATCTTTTTCTTTTTTTTTTGAGAAATTGTTTTAATAATGGTCCAATGAGAATTTCGCAACAAAAGAATAATATCCCAAACAAGAATAATTTCCAAAATGGGCTTTATTTATTTATTTTGTCATAAACGTTCGAATAATGTTCATTTTGTCATCTTACTGATCATCCTTTTATTATTATGTTTAACCTTTTAGGTTTTGCAAATTATAAATTCTATAATTATAATTAAACAACATAATTTAATAATTTATGATCGATACATTTTTTTTAAAATCACTCAAATCTTTATAGGGCCGAGGAGAGTGCTTTGGGAGGATAACAATCGAAGCAATGGCATTCCAGCTACCCGTATTGGTAAAAAAAAAAAAAAAATCAAACATATTTGATGACTTTTTAATTAAATTTTAAACTCAAATCTTTTTTAATTTAATATAATTTTATTGATCAACTTGTTCTATATAGGGAACGTCAGCAGGAGGGACATCAGAGATTGTGGTCAACGGGTCAACGGGGTTTCTACATCTTCCAGGAAAAGAAGGGGTGACTCCTCTTGCAAAAAACATGGTGAAAATGGCGACACATGTTGAAAGAAGGTTAACTATGGGGAAGAGAGGGTATGAAAGGGTGAAAGAAATGTTTTTGGAGCATCACATGGCGAAAAGAATTGGTGTTGTGTTGAAGGATGTGTTGAAGAATAGGGAAAATGGAAAACACCATTGATGTTTTTTTAAGTTGGTGTTGTTTGTGTATATTGGTTGTTGGAAATGATGTGATTATAGTGAGAATGATAGGTTGGTGGTTTTAGTTTTAGAGAGTGGTTGTGTTGGTGGAATTGGTATATGAAATTTGAGTTTGCTCATTAGATTTTGTATTGGTGTCATGAAAATTTTGAATATAACACTCATAGCCATGGGAGAGTTTTATGATCATATGTTGTAGTGGTAAAGATGGTTTCTTGTAATTTATATTTGGATTTGAATTCTACTAGAATGTGGTTTCTAATGTAGTAATTGGGTCTTATGAAAATATATCATGTCCAATGTTTATAATAGTAGCTTTTTGAAGATTTTATTGGGTGAAATAAGTTATATATAGTCGGAACTATTGTGATAAAAATAGTTTATGTTTTCTTTTTGGTTTGTTCCAAAATAATTATATATCTTTAAAAAATAAATAATTTTTTTACCAAAATATGTTTCATTGTTAGTTAAACTATTAGCAAATTAAATACAACTACCATAAAATTAGATGCAATAAAAAATAAGAATGTCATTTCATTTATTTATTAAATAACGATTAATATTTCTTTAATCTATATGTTTTGTATGTGGACAATAATTTTGGGACGGAACGAGTATTATTCTTTTAATTTATAAACTTTTCCACATTGCTTATAAATTTACAAAATTTACAAGCTCAATAAATATAGTTGTTTCGTTATTTAATTCATTTACTTTATAAATAGAATGATTGATATTGGTGTCAGTTTTGTGAAATATCATTTTATTATAATCAAGTTTTACAAAGCATTTGGATTGTGGATGTATGGATGACTGATGCAAAAAGTTTATTAAAAAGGTTCTTTATTGTGATACTCGGTCTAAGATTGCTTTATTAATCTCAATTCATTTATGAAGTCATGCACTTGAAAGCAACAAAAGTCGTAGTTTAGTTGGCCACATCGTCACTTTTCTTTCATTCAATACAATCTCTAGTGTTGTTCGTCGCCATTAATAGAGGTTGGTTTCCACTGCAGTTTTCCTTGAAGAAAGTATTGTTTGTCGCCATCATTGCTTCTAATCTTTTTGTTAATACAATTCGTAATTTTACTTTGTGTTCAAATTTCAGTTTGAATATCAATAATAGCACTTGGATAATTCAAGGATTGTATATAAGAACATTTTCTAATATATATGATTTCGACTCTATTGTATGGATATATATGAAATCCGATTTGGGATAATCCAAGAGCAAATCGAATATGAATATAAGTCTATTCAACACAAAAATACATTGCAATTGATTGTACTTTTCTAGAGATAACTTGTAGAGATAAGAAAAAGATGCAGGTTTTTGTGTTTGTCTCTATTCGTCAACATTCTAATCTTCTATATATACATAAAAGACAATGGTTTTAAGGGGGGAACAACGCCCCAACTCATGAATGTTATAACACCCACAACTTTGGGCTAGACATGTAAGATATAATAAGTGATAAAACGAGATCTTTATAGAAGATTATTTAGAATAAATAGTCTTAATCAACATTATAGTATATGTGACAAAAATTTTGTACATATAATGAACTCTGAAATCCGAGTTCGTATGAAAAAGTTATGAGTTTTCGAAGTTTCGCGATTAAACCGATGTGATTATGCATATCGTAAAAAGTGAATTTTAGATAGATTGAGGGGGTGTTTGGCTTAATTTTTTAAAACCAAAAGTCCTTTTTGGAAAAGTTACAAAAAGTCAGGATTTCCTGACTTTTCCAAAAAATCTCTTTTCCTTGTATAAAACCTCCAAAAGCAGCTTCTAAAATTGGTTTGCCAAACATCTTTTTTTTTTTTTTTTTTTTTTTTTTTTTCAAAAAAGGACTTTTGTGATGTAAAAAGCTAAAACAAACACCCCCTGATTATTAGCCTAAGTAATCTAAATAAAAGTCATAGCATTTGTTAAACTGAGAGCGTACATATAGAGAACGTCCAAATCTGATTTCATGTAAGGAAGTTATGATTTTTCGAAGTTTTCAGTACAATTGTATAACATAGAAACCGAAATTCAAGTCGGTCGATTGTTAGGAAAAACAATCTAAACGAGATTCGAAGATCTCGACAATATGATTCCAGCAATATAAAGACAGTTGAGAACGAATATTGTACGACAGAGTTATGACTTTTATACGGACATTAATAGTGTAAGTCTGTTAAAACTTTAAAAATAAAGTGGAAATTAGCCGATGAAGTCTAAATGAAAGTTGTAGATCTCGTCGATAACTACGCCTGAATATAAAGAAGGTAAAAACGGAGCTCATATTAATAAAATATGAATTTTGAAAATATGTTAAATCGGACGTGCAAGCGCGCGATGTGCCTCTGACATACCACCGAGAAGTTGCAACATGTCACATGAAAAATTAGTTTCTAGAGGCGAGCAATTATTTTGCGCAAATAGTTTTCTACATCAAAACAATTATTAATAAGAATCATTCTAGCTTTTCGATAACTTGTAAGAAACTGATATCACAATACCTTCTTATTTCCCTTCCCCTTCCATAACTCCCATACCCCCTGCCCCTTTATATCTCCAGGCATATGATGTTGACTGTGTATTCATAAAGAAAAAAAAATAGAATACAAGCAAGTAGTTTAACGGGCTATATTACAAAACATCAAATGTCCAAAAGAACGTGTAAATTGCACATGCAACCCCTTATACATAAGCCCAAACCCTAAACGACAAGCAAAAATATTTGAAGATTATTTAATAATTTTTTTTAAGAGAAATAGCATTTTTTATGAGAAGAAGGAAATATAAGATAAGATTATATCATACCATCATCACCATTGATGTAATCATCAAGCATGAAGATTAGAAGAGTATGAGGCACATCAGATGCATGTCCATAAGAATGGTATTTTCATGATCAAGTCAATTTATGACATTTTGAAAATCCATGAAGTTAATCCCTATAAAAAGAAACTAATCGATTAACTCTCAACAAACATAGTCATAATAAAAAAAGTCATAAAATAATAAAAATAGAACTAAAAATAAATTGATATATTAGAAAAAATGAAAGTAAATAGCTATTTATTCCATTTAGCCTCTTAAAAAACATTTAAGATCGTATTAAAAAGGTATATGTAACAATATGTATTCTATAACTATTTTTCATTTTATTCCAAATCACTATAGTACCAAAAACTCATTTAGCTATCTAAAAGACTTTGATGTTTATAGATTGCTAGTACAAAGTGACCTTCCAGATTCGTCTTAGACATAAAAGGAATCTGATTTTTCTTTGTTATAGAAGTTAATGTTTAAAGCCAAGGGATGTATGAACCACATCTTTATTCAAACATCGCTTTTGTGCCTCTTCTTTGTTGAACTTATTTGCTTTTTAGATACTAAATCACCAGCCTTTTCCTGCACCAAAATATAACAACACATCCTTCTTTTAATCTTTATTTCCAACATCATGTGTAAAAAAACCAAATTATGTAATGTGTACCTTTTCATCTGTCTTTGTTTATCTTTAAGTCTTGTTTGGTAGACTTGTCACTTTTATGTTTAAGAGATAGAAATATCAACACCATTGTGTTTTATAGATCATGAACACCATTTGTATCTAAAAAATGAAATTGTTATACACATATAATAATCAGACTGAAAATGGGTTAAAGTTACCTCAAGAGAAAAAAAATGAGGAAATATGAGTGATGTCATAAATGTAATCAAGTCTAGATGCAGAATGAAACCTGTAAAATCGAAAAGGATAACGACTTAAGACAAAATCAAACCAGAAAATCAATAGCATACATGTAATCCATCATCTTACCGAAGATGTGTAGACCAACCATTGATTCTCTACCGTTAGTTGCAACGGGAGTATGATGCATTCTTACCATCAACTGAAACACTTTCTAGGGTTTTCAAATAAGGCTAAGTAGTACGTGGTTGTAAAGTGGTTTAGAGAGAGAGAGAGAGAGAGAGAGAGAGAGAGAGAGAGAAAGAAAGATAGATAGATAGATAGATAGATAGATAGATGGACCTACAGTATGTGATGGTGGCCATGTGGTTGTAGTAGGGATGGAAGATGGTGACATAAAATAAGGCGATGTCTCATGTTATGGTCCTCTAGCGATAGTGACAATTAGAGATAGGTAAAAGGTGGATTAAGGGGAGAGAAAAGTAAATAAGAGATGCTTACAGTAATGAAGGTAACATTTGGGTTTTGAGCATCTATTGGAGATGGTAGTGGGTGGTGAATGATCTGATGGTGGTGGAAATTAGTTCCTTGGGGGTACGCTTATGACAGAAGATAGTGTTGTGGTTTGCTAACGGTGGAGGTGGTAGCCGATGATGGTGGTGACAGGTTTTCAGAGAATCATGATGGGTCTAGGGTTTTCAAAGAGAGAAAAGCATAGGTGTAATGGTGCTTTGACAGTGGTGATGAGGGGTATGACGCAATGACAGTGGTGGTGGGTTTAGCAGAAGATATGTCGATGAAGGTGACCGGTTTAGTAGAAACGCAAGAGTGGTGGTTTGTGGTGGCTATTGAATTTTGTAGTTGGGGTTTCCAAGAAACAAATTTGGGTGGAAGACATGGGACTATTGTGATCGAAATTGTGAGCATAGGATTTTTGTAGGCGACGACTGATGAGTTCAAATGAGAATGCCAAGTCAAAAGCTGAGATACTTGCCAAAAATTTGCACAAAATTGGTTAATTGAACCCGTTTTTATTGACTTTTTCAATGATTGACCAACTAAGATATATTTCTGTAATGCACAAAGTCATTGTACATTATGTTGTAATTGCTTGTACCTCTTCAAATTCAACACTTAAGGCTTAAGGTTTATATATATATATATATATATATATATATATATACATATATATATACATATATATATATATATATATATATATATATATATATATATATATATATATATATCTTTGTTTTTCAACATTCTCCTCAAACCATTTCCACTAAAATCCTTTGGAATACTTCTGTACCTCTAGCCCATTTACTCTGTAGTTTTCCGACTACTTTAGCGAGGCCTTGCAAGTCAGAAAGTCGGAAAATAGAAGCCCCCGAGACAGAGTTCTGTTCGCACGATTTCCCGGTTTTTACTAAAATCTCTGTAAGTTAAGCTACACTTATTTTATTTCACGTGTAACTAATATTTATGTTCATAGTCGTTTTTATGAACCTATAAATAAGATTTATCAGTGATTCCAAGTCATTATACTGATTGATCTAGTTACGAAAATGATGTCTAGGCTGGATTTAATGAGGTATTTAAAGTGAGATTTCCAAACA